ATACAGATGGTAATGGAAAACATCTTGCATTGCAATCTTCAACACAGCTCCACTCTCTGCTCCTTCCCAGTGCAGTCCTGCCAGGACATTGAGGGGTTTCTGACCTCCTGCCTGAATCTCATTAATTTAGGGCCATTATTTTCCTCTAGCAGAGGTCAGAGGCTGTGGCTGCATTAGAGCATCCCCTGGAGAGGCACCTGGTCAGGGAGAATCACCTTGGGTTGTTTTTTCTGTGGCCTGAGTTGATTTCCAAAGGCACCTCAAAGCTGAAAGCAAGGCTAGGTTTAATAACAAATGTGTAACAGCAAATAAAGATTTGTACTATGGAGCTGCTGGGTGCTGCTGTTGCTTGGTGGAGCAGAGGGGAACAAAGCCAGCATCTGTGTTCATTAAAAATAGGTAATGGAATATTCTTAGCTCAGCCCTGCCTCTGCCTTGGCAGAAATACTCTGGAGTTAATTGCTGCTGTTGTTCAGCTGCAGCAAAGTGGGTCAGCTATTGGTGAGATCACTGATCCCATGGAATTGTTGGGAGAGGTGTAAAAATAGGCTTTGTGCTGTGCTCAGCTGGGGTTTGGGCCAGCTGAGCCCTGCAGGTGCAGGTGGGGATGCTGTCCCCAGCCCTGTGGGTCTGAGCCACTGTCACCACTCCTGGCAGTGTCACACCTGGAAACCCAGCCCAGGGCAGCCAGGGGTGTCCTTCCTCTCTGGGATTCCACTGGGAATCCACCCTCAAGCTCCACCAGGGGAAATACAGGTTGGATATCAGGAAAAAGAAAGGGTGACAAAGTTCTGGAATGGCTGCCCAGGGAGGTGGTGCAGTCCCCATCCCTGGGTGTGTTTAACAAAGCCTGGATGTGGCACTGGGTGCCAGGGCTGAGTTGAGGTGTTGGAGCGGGGCTGGGCTGGACTCAATGATTTTGAAGGTCTCTTCCAACCCAGGCATTCTGTAAATTCTGTGAATTCTGTGATTCTGTGAATCCAGGGCATGCAGACTTTGGCTGGCAGAGGAGGATTGTGGTGGCACGTTCATAAACTGAGTTCTGTATGACTTAGCCTATGCAGGCCAGGACTAATGGTGGGAAGAGCTGATAAAACAAGACCTCATGTCCTCTTTTAGTGCTGTGTGTGTCCCTCTCCTGGATAATTCATCTTTTTTTCTCAGCTCCCCATCAGAGATAAGCGCACCTGTGCCTCCTTCACAGGTGTTCACCTTTAGCTAATTCGGGATCCTTCTGTTAGGTGTTATCCTTCTGAAGGTGTTATGTTGCTAACACTTCAAAGGGAGTATTCAAATGGCTTTGAACTTGTGTTGCATCTGAGACATAAAATATCCATTTGCTGCTGGCCCTCCTGTCCTCTCTCCCCACTTACAGAAAGGCTCCTTTCAGGAAGATGCTCTGAGTGATGCAGACACTGATGTTGCTAATTCAAGCTTTGAAGAGACATTTTATAACAAAGCAGGCTTGGAGATCAGGTCTAAATCCATAAACTTTGTGTTACATTTGGGATTTAACATGCCCTGGAAGAAATATCCCTCAAAAGGACATTGCTGCATCCAAGAGTCCCCTGTGCCTTTAGCATTGTCCTCCTGGAGAGATGAGAATCCTTGAAAAAACACACTTGCTGAGCCCCCAAAACCCCCAGTATTTAACTGGTTTTTGCCTCTTACCTATGAGCAGGAATTTGTTAAAATCCTGGTGGATCCTTGTGGGCATTTTGCCCTTGTTGCAGTGCAGACACACCCAGAGCCCTGTGCTGTTTGTGACCCCTGCACCCACTGCTGAGCCCTTGCAGCTCTTTGAGATCACTGAATATTCCATCCCAAAGCACCTGCCATTACAAAATTTTAATTCTCAGCTGTCATGTTTCATATTTTATTTACCTGTCAGGAGAAGAAAGTCGCAGTGCTGGCAGTACAAATGTGCTTGGGTTGGTGATTCAGCCCCTCCAGTGCCATCCCAGCCCTCTGGAGGCTTCCCAGGGCAGGCAGGGGCTATTCCAGAAAAGCAGGGCAATAAAAGGCAGTGAAAAATACATTTTTAGCTATTATTACAGGCTATACAAAATACAGGGCAGAATATCCACATAGAGGAGGCCAGGGGAAGGAAATAACTGCACTGAAAGGTTTTCTCCTGGTCAGACACCCTGGTGTGTGTATGAGAAGTGATGGTCAAAAACCCACAGCCTGAAATACTGGTTTTTATTTTCCTTTTTAAATCACTCTGAAGATGGGAATTGCTCAGCCAAAGGTGAGTTGCTTGCCTGCCAACTCCAAGAGTTTCTTGTGTTGATTTGCTGCATTTGCTTTTTCCTCACGAATGAGGAAATAGGAAATCTAATGTTCAGCCTTATCAGCTTGTCAATTGAATTGCTGTCTATTTTAATGTTATCACTGTCATTTGTTACTAATTAATAGAAGCAACATGATTGCAGCTTTTATTTTTGCTTATTTTTTCAGTGAGAAGCTGGATGGAGAAGCTGAAAGATAAGGTAGGAGGCTCAGTGTTTCAGTTCCTTTCAAAGCAAAACCACTTTTACTTGCAGGAATAAATAAATTCTTGTCAGTGCAGTTCTTTATCTCCATACAGACAGTTGAGAAAGGGCTTAAAATTTTTTTCTGGGAGGCAAATGAGCCAGGTGCTGCTGGTATAGAGTGGTGTGAATGCATAAAAAAATCCCTGGTGGGTTGTAACTAAGGGCAGGACGGGCAGAAGTGTTTGATTGATTTCTCTGCACCAGAAAATGACCTTGTCAGATAACCCAAGTTACTTTTTTTTATTATTTCCCCTTAACTTATTCTAGAATAATTTTGGTGGGAAAGGACCTTTGGAGGTCCATCTAGCCCAGCCCCTCTGCACTGAGCAGGGATATCTTCACCAGACAGGTGTTTAGGACCTGTCCAGCCTGACCTGGAATATTTCCAGGGACCCCAAGGTAAAGAACTTAGTTCCACCCCCTTTCTCTACGTGCTGAGCTCAGCTCTGGATCCAAATCAAGAGGTGCTGCTCTCTGGTGAGAGGCTGCCTGCCATGCCAGTGCCTCTGCATGAGGCCTTTCCACCTCCACGTGCTGCAAATCCCTGCAAGGAGGATGATCAAACGCAGCAAAGCTGATAAACAAGGTACCAGACCCTGGTCTTTCCTCCCTGGCATCCCAGGGGCTGCTCCATGCATCCAGGAGCTGTGCAGCCACAGGCACTGATGGCTTTTTAGGCTCTGCTGCCCTGGAGCAAATATTGACATTTCAGAATGGTTGTGAAGCTTTCCAAGTGTTGTGTTGCTGGCAGCAGAGCCATGAAGCTGGAAATGAGGTGACAGCAAGAACATTTTGTGGCTCAACAGGCCTTGGAGATTCTTGAAGAGCGTCAGAGTCAGTAGAAACAAAAGCCATCACAGGGAGTGGGAGCGATGTCTGCAAAGCCATCCCTGAGCTCAGGCAGACTCACCCAGCCAGCCCAGCCCTGCCTCTGCTCCACACCAAATTCCAGCAGCACTTTCACCATTTACCATCAGGTCAGAGCAGAGAATCAGGGCCTGGGTGTGTGTTCTTGTCTTGGTTTGGAAAGACAGGAGTCTGCTAAGGAAGGCAGGAGCCTCCCCTGAAATGGAGAATGTAAACCCTCCCCACCCCTCTGAATTGCTATAAATTTTAAATGAAGGGGCTCTCAGGCAAAAATATGGGAGCAGGAAATAACAGTTCTTTAATAGGGAAGAAAATAAAAGGATAAAATAAGCAATGCAATACACTAGAACAACACTGACAGAGTCAGAACCCAACCTGACACCCTGTGGGTCAGGG